TAGGTTGCCTGGTTGCCCCAGCAACGGGACAGCTGCCGGCAGCCACGACCTCTTCGTCCAGATGTGGGTCCACATTTCCCAGGCCCAGCTCATGACAGTTTCCTTGATGGTGTCGTTCAGGAAGTTTGGGCTTCTTCTCCCGCTGGAGCCTCTGGTGGGCGGAGGACAGAAAGGTGGTCAACTGGCTTTGTGGCCCACGCTTCCTGGCAGCAGAGCCCTTGGTACTGCTGTTGTTTACTGGGGCCTCCTGTGTTCACCCCCCTTCTTTGCTGGGCCGGAGCCTGGAGGTGGCTGCACCACAGGATCCTCCACTGTCTCCTTCAAGGAGACTAAGGGTTACCAGGAATAAAGAGATTATTAGGTATTTGCAAGTGGTTCTGAGGCATACTATGTGCAGGCACTGCTGAAGCCACTTTGGGCTCGATTCACCACACTGGCCTCAGAGGCCGCCTCACTCCACAGCCATCAGCGTTTCTCCACCTGGCTCCTCCTGGGGCCCCCTCTCTCTGACAAGGCCCTCATCCCTCTTGTGTCACTGCTGCCTGAAAAGAGAAAAAAATACAGTTCTAGCTGTGGTCTCACTCCCACCTTGCTCAGACACCAGGGCCAGGGGCTACTATGCTTCTGCTCCAAACCTTAACAAGAAAGAGCGGAGAGCTAGGTGGAAATGCCAGTTTCCAGTCCCGGCCCAGGGGATGAGGGCAGAGCAGTTAGGGACTCTGCCTCTCTCTTCTGCTGGACCTCAGTTCCCCTGGCCCCAGGGACTTGTTGGGTTCCAGTCAGAACTGAAGAATGCGCAGTTTCGCTGGGGCACTAATCCTTGTGATTCTGCTAACAAATCGTTTTCATCTTTTTTAAGCCGTAGCGCCAGGCCAGGTGCGGTGGGCTCACGCCTGGAATCCGCACTTTGGGGAGACCAAGGCAGGTGGGTCGTGAAGTCAGGAGTTTGAGACCAGCCTGGCCAATATGGTGAAACCCTATTCTACTAAAAATACAAAAAGCCCAGGCATGGTGGTGCACGCCTGTAGTCCAGCTACTTGGGAGCGGTGATGGATGAGGAGGAATTGCTTGAACCCGGAAGGCGGAGGTTGCAGTGAGCCAAAGATCGCGCCACTGCACTCCAGCCTGGGTGACCCAGAGAGAGACTCCAACTCAAAAAAAAAGAAAGCAAAAGAAAAAAGACCTAGCTCGAGGGTCAGCTGCTCGCAGGCTGAACACTAGTTTTATTCCCAGGGTGACTATCCTTATTTGCCCAGGTTAAGGGGTTTCTCTAGATGCAGGACTCTCAGTGCTAAAACCAGGATGACTTGGTTACCCTGTTGGCCCCCGCTGCACACCCAGGCCGGCCCACCGCCTCAGGTGGAGCTCTGGCCACACTGTGTAGTGATGCCTGTTGGTGCCTCAGTCTTCCTCACCTGTCCCCATGCCACAGTGCTGTGTCATTTCACTGTGGGCGAGGTGGGATGCTCTGCGACCAGAGAGGTAAGCAACACACCCCAGATACAAACCAGGATTTGAACCCAGGCTACTAGAAACCCACCTGCAGGTTTCTCCCACAACACAACCCTGACTCTGGCTCTTGGAATCTTAGCCTTTGGAAAGCCTGGATCCTGGTTTTTGGGGTAGGTGTGGTAAGCTGTGGGGCGGTTCCCATCAGCTACTCCAGGCCCCAGAGGCAAGGAGTGGCTGGGAGAGGAGGAAGTGACCAGCAGTGGCTTTGGCCACTATCCAGAAGATGAGTGACCTGGGCATATGTAGGGAGATCCCGGGGCACCCAGTCCCCACTGCAATGGAAGGAATCAGATGCCCCAAGGGGAGGCACGGAAGCAGAACCAGATTGCTCTTCCAGTTAAACCCAGGCAGCCTCTCCTCTGGCTTAAGACCATTAAACACGTCATGGGAAGCAGCACGATCTGGACCACACTTCACACCCACTGCTACAGTTATAAGTAAAAGTGCAAAACAACAAGTCGGTGAGAATGTGGAGAAAATGGAACTCCTGCATTGCTGGTGGGGATGTAAAACTGTGCAGCCGAGGTAAAAAACAGGTGGTCTTTCAAAAGGTAAGACAGAACAGCCATGTGGCCTGCCAGCTCCACTCCTACGTATACACCCCCAGAAACTGAAAGCAGGGTCTCAAGCAGATATTGGTATACCCATGTTCAAAGCAGCATTGTTCATAATAGATAAAAGGTGGGAGCAACCCAGTCTCCAGTGATGGATGAATAAACAAACATAAGATGTTCTAGACACATGATGGGACATTATTAGCTATAAAAAGAAAAAAGTTCAAAATAGTTACAACATGGATGGACCCCGAAAATACTAATATTATGATTAGGGAAAGAAGCCAGACATAGAAAGACAAAGATTATCTGATTCCACTTATGTGAGGTACCTGGAGTAATCAAATTCATAGAGACAGAGAGTGGCAGGGTGGCTGTCAGGTGCTGGGAGGAGGAGGAGGTGGTAAGGGGAAGTTACTGTTTAATGGGGACAGAGTTTTTGCTTAGGATGACAAAAATCTGCTAGTTATGGTTATAGATAGTGGTGATGGTTACACATGCTGTGAATGTATTTAATGCCACTGAATTGTACACATACAAGTGGTTAAAATAAATATTATGAATACGTTGTCACACACACAAATGCGATATCCAGATAAAATGCCTGCTTCTGATGGAACCGCCCAGGGCGGCCCCATGATCCTGAATGTGCGGAAAACGCCCCAGGAGGCTTGCTAAGGCGCAGATCTGACTCAGGAGGTTTGAGCTGGCCCCGAAATCCTGCATTTCTAACAGACCCCTGGGCGATGCTGCGCCAGGGCTGGTGGGGGGACCACACTCAGAGCCCCAGGGTACAGGACCACAGCCAGACTCCCCTGCAGGAAACTCCACGGAGGTCTCCCACCAGCAAGGGCTGCTGTGCCCCCCAGGCTTGTGAAGATGTGCCTGGGCCCACAGGATGGCCTTCCATCATGCCGCTACTTTGATTTGGGAGCCTGGCACCGTGTATCCATCATGCAGTGACATTTACTGAGTGCCTACGGGGTGCCACAGAGGTCCGAGAAGCCAGGACTCGAGGTCGGCTGTGGATGTGTGTGGGGAGCATGTTGCGTGCTTCACACAGCACCACATCATCTCGCTGGACTCTTACTGACTGACTTTAATGACTCATTTAAGAAAAATTTATTTATTTATTTATTTGAGATGGAGTCTCACTCTATTGCCCAGGCTGGAATGCAGTGGTACTATTTCGGCTCACTGCAACCTCCACCTCCTGGGTTCAAGGGATTCTCCTGCCTCAGCCTCCCAAGTAGCTGGGATTACAGGTGCATACCACTGTGCCTGGCTAATTTTTATATTTTTAGTAGAGACGGGGTTTCACCATGTTCACCAGGCTGGTCTCGAACTCCTGACCTCAGGTGATCCACCCGCCTCCGCCTCCCAAAGTGCTGGGATTACAGGTGTGAGCCACCGCACCTGGCCAAAAAATAAAAATAAATTTATTTGAAAAGGAAACCTCTCATCTCTACCACAAGTAGAAAGCAAGAATTACCTGGCAGAAGTAAAATGGTAGTTGTACAATGCAATGAAAACAAAGCTACTGTATTCGGTTCCAGCTCTACCCTGCTGCCTGCCCAGGCAAACTCTCCTCTCCCTTAGAACAAGGCTCACAAGCCCTGACAAGGTGCAAAGTAAGACACCAGGCCAAACTGAAGCCCCAGCACTGCAGAGACAGGCAGAAAGGAGGGACGGCAGGAATGACCTCCGGGCTCTGTGATGCGACTTTCTCTAATGCCCTGCCTCACCTAACATCACAAGCCCCACACTTCAGAAATCTTGGATCCGTTCCAATCTTTCACTGGCAAAAGGGGAAACGGAGGCCCAGGCCCTGGAAAGGGCTCACCTGAGGTCATCGAGTGAGTGCAGGGCCAGGTAGAACTCAGATGGGAAACTGGCTCTTTCTCTAGATTATCATCCTAAGTCCTCCCCGTACCAGCTGAGATGGAGCGGCAGGTTACTCCATGTAGCGTCACTGTTTTGGGAAAGAAAGATTCTGGTTTTCTCTGCCTTTTGTCAGTGACAATAAAAGTATGACAGTGCTGGCTGGGCGCAGTGACTCACGCCTGTAATCCCAACACTTTGGGAGGCCAAGGCAGGCGGGTCACCTGAGGTCGGGAGTTCGAGACCGGCCTGACCAACATGGAGAAACCTGGTCTCTACTAAAACTACAAAATTAGTTGGGGGTGGTGACGCATGCCTATAATCCCAGCTACTTGGGAGACTGAGGCAGGAGAATCACTTGAACCTGGGAGGCAGAGGCTGTGGTGAGCCGAGATCGCGCCATTGCACTCCAGCCTGAGCAACAAGAGTGAAACTCCACGTACCATAACCACTACCGGCACCAAGGATGTGGTGAACAAGTCTTTCCCTCAAGAGGGGAACCATAATCTGGGCTTCCAGTTGTGATGGGCCTAAATGAATGAATGTGTGTTGCCTACTATCAAGTTCTTCATTATATCACTGTGGTGCTGTTTTATTCTGTATGGAGTCAATACCTGAACCTGTCTGACTTCTTCCAACACTGGCGCATGGCTTACAGTTGCTGCTTGAAATGCGCACAAGTAAGGCCAGGGGAAGCCGAAACGAGCACGTGGAATATAACAGCAATCTTGTAACAGCAGAGCCCATAAAACGCGTGCGGCCGAAGTCTGCGTGAGCCCCATCGGGCCAGCCCAATGTGTTGGAAGGCCAGAGCACTGGATAATTTCCGGGGTCAAGGGAGCCTTCCTCACAAGTGATGGCATCGTTCAATTGTGTGGCCATGAATGAGGAAAGGAGGTGGAAGGAGGCGGTACCTCTTCCCACAACTCTCCGATCAGGACAGGTGGTGGCTGTGGATAGGGACCAAGCTCTCCAGCCATCCTAGTGATCAAGGGCCTTCAAACAGGACAAACCTTGTCACAGTGCCGTCCGCATCCAGAAGTTTCCCGGGAACAATGCACTCGAATCCCATGGGTACTTGAACACACAGAGGGCTCGCAGCCACGAGAGTATTGCCCTCATCCTCATAGGGATAAATGTCCTGGGCAAATCGACGTGGGACTCCTTTTTTTTTTTTAATTAATAACTTTATAATCTAGGGTATCATGTGCATAACGTGCCAGGTTGTTGGTACATATGTAGTATTTTGCCATGTTGGTGTTGCTGCACCCATCAAACTCGTCAGCACCCATCCCAACTCTCATTTTACATCAGTATAACTCCAAATGCAACTCCCTCCGCCCTCGTCCTCCCCCATATAGGCCCGGTGGTGGATGTTCCTTCCCCGAGTCCAAGTGATCTCATTGTTCAGTTCCCACCTTGGAGTGGAGAACATGCTTTCCCTTACCCCACTTGCCTACTCCTCCACTCGCCTTGCACCACACACCTCCAGCCCAGCTCGTAGTGCTTGCCATGGGAGATCCCCCCTTCCTTCGCCTGCTTACTCGCTTCATCCTCTCCAGATAGCACCACCATGGAACACCTGGCATCCGCGCTCAAGCGGCCTCCTGCTTGCCAGGGAAGCACGACCAGGCCCATGCTTCCTAAGGAGCTCAGCGCACCAGGTGGCAGGCGTTGGATTGACCTGAATTGTATACGGAGACTATACTTGGAACTACGCGAGGAGGCTGGGCGAGGCGTTGTCCCTCTGAACTTCCGAACACTCTGTCCTGTGTTCATATCAGTAGCAGCTGTCCATACTTTTTTTTTTTTTTTTTTTTGATGGGAGTTCCACCTCCTTG